TTGAATGCATGACATATAAACTTTTTACTGCCTTATATTTGACCTCCTCATTCTCTGTTTGATACAATTCAACTTTATTGAATAGTATACAAATGAATTGAAATAATAAACTCTCCCGCTGAACACTTTTTTTACTTTAAAATTATCAGTTACCTCATGCTATTTGTGTTATTATGTGTCATACCCTATATATGTGACGCATCTGAATACTTGCATGTCAAATCATATAGGATAAAACAATATGCGGAACTTAAAATCAAGGTTACCTTTAAATTATCCATCATGACAGGAAAAGCACAAATCTGGCCACCATTTACATTGCCAAGGTATCAATTTGTATCAATTAAACCTACGTGAGTACCACGCAGACATTATGATAACGTTTAGTATGATAAAAGTCAAGGTAATTGTATACTTCATTAATTAAGAGACAAATATTAGTCGTTTATGCTCCTTTAATGACTTCTTTGCAGTAAACTGACATTCAAACGGAGTGAAAAGTCATTGTTTTCTGACAGACTTGACCTTTTAAACTCTTCAGGTTGCATAGGAAAAGTTGAGTAAGTCAACTGCCATGCTTTTCTGTTAACCTTTTATCCTAACTCAAAGTATCAAAATAAAATTCCAATAATAACAATAAACCATGACAACGTGAAACCTTCATTGACCTTTTAATAGCCAGCGCCACCATTCGGCAGTGCACATTTTGTGTCTTGATATTTAATATACTGTCATGATTGTCTTAATGGAATAACATGGTTTGTTTAGATTCACTGATATCAATATCAAACAAGAATCATCTGAAGCATTTAAATAAAAATGTTCAACCAGAATTAAAATATTAAACAACAAAACAGATACAATGACATTAATCTGTTTATTAACAACGAAAATAATACAAATTAAGTACATATGCCTAGATTTAAAATAACACAATTATACATGTGTACAATCAAATATAACTGTACTTTGCCTAATTTATAAAGTATAAATCTTAGCATCTCACTAGCAGTGGCAAATGCAATCAGTTACAGCTTCCCTAACTCTGTAGCCAAGTCTAATAACACCAGTGTACACGTTGCTGTGTCAATACATATATATATTTGTTAATTATTTGTCTTCACTAGTAATAATACACCTGGTTTATCGTAGCAAGCAGTGGAAACTCCCCTCAAGAAGCGACAATTGCCAAGGGCTTGCGTTGCAACCCTCACTCGCCAATATTTCTTTTTTATTACAATATCAGTTCGATAAAGTCATGCCTGAACAGCAACATTTTACATGATAAATACGGGTTTAAATAGCAGCATTTGCCACGGAAGGCGAGTGGCAGCTACCGTAAACCTTCTCTTACTCTGGCATCTTGTGGCAACTCCCGTTCAGCAGCGGCAGATGCCTCGGCAAGTTGTGGCATCTGTGGCAAGTTGTGGCATCTGTGGCATATGCCGGAAGTACTTGCCACAGATACCACAGAGTAGTGCACTACTCTGTGGTATCTGTGGCAAGTACTTCCGCCTCTGTGGCAGATGCCGGAAGTACATGCCACTGCCTGCAAATGCCAAGGCACATGCCACGGCGAGCATAGTGGCAACACTCATTGTGTTCTAGTGGCAACACTCATTGTGTTCTAGAATGATAAATAAAATAACATTGTACCTTGACAATCAATGCATTCTAATAGCGGGTACATTTTACACGTTGGCGGTTTTAGGTAGGCTATACAGCGACCCCTGGCGGTTCTAGTGTTAAGTAAAAGTAGAAGTAGCCTACCTAAATGTAGGAATACTCTGTTACAAGTAAAAGTCCTGCATTAAAATGTTACTCAAGTAAAAGCGCAAAATTATTACACACTTTGGATGCGCCCGTGAACTGTCAACGGGGGTGGGGTGGGGGGGTACACTGTGGACCTCTGTGTCGCCTGTCAGCGCAGCTTACATGATGCCGTTTAAAATATAATATAAATATAATAATATAGGGCGGTGTCGGCCGTCAGCGAACCGATCCGGCCTTTCTGCGCGACTGTCACTCAAATGCGGGACATAGTCTTAATTTCGTGGTAGCCTACTCGGGACAAATAATAAAGATGCTGTGTGTGCAGTGACAGTTCCGCACACAGCGGGACATCTGTTCACCCTACACATTAACACACACACGGTGCTGCCCCTCACACACACGCTTCAAATCAAGTTGCATAAATGCTTGAGCTACGTTTTTATTACAACTACTGTGAAATCTGCCTATTATGTTTTCGTCATTATTACAACAAATACATACTTGCAACTGAGGCAATGATTTTATATTTATTAGACTATTAAAAAAATTCATGCTTCAAATAAGTGGGGGTACGGCGTACCCCCGCGTCCAACGCCCACTAAACCAGTGGTCATGCCTAAACAGCGACATTTTACACGATAAATACGGGTTTAAATAGCAGCATTTGCCACGGAAGGCGAGTGGCAGCTACCGTAAACCTTCTGGCATCTTGTGGCAACTCCCGTTCAGCAGCGGCAGATGCCTCGGCAAGTTGTGGCATCTGTGGCAAGTTGTGGCATCTGTGGCATATGCCGGTGGCAAGTTGTGGCATCTGTGGCAAGTTGTGGCATATGTGGCATATGCCGGTGGCAAGTTGTGGCATCTGTGGCGAGTTGTGGCATCTGTGGCAAGTTGTGGCATCTGTGGCATATGCCGGTGGCAAGTTGTGGCATCTGTGGCAAGTTGTGGCATCTGTGGCATATGCAGGTGGCAAGTTGTGGCATCTGTGGCAAGTTGTGGCATCTGTGGCATATGCCGGTGGCAAGTTGTGGCATCTGTGGCATATGCCGTAAGTACTTGCCACTGCCTGCAGATGCCACGAAATGCGCTTGCTGTCTCTCCTTCCATCTGTGCACAAACTTATCTCGTGCCCTCATTGGTCATGTGCGCGTTCGTGTGTCTTGGAGGAGGGGCTCTGTAAGGAAGTGGCAGATTTTTTCCGGTTGTGTATTTTCAAATTCTAGCGCACTCGAGCCGGTTTCTCAAACTTGCCTACCCCACCTTTAAGTAAGAAAATGCAATTTTCTGCTAATCCTATTTTGTGCAAAAGCAATTATTCCTTCAAATGAATCTCTTAATATAATTAGTATATCCAGTAGGGATAGTGTTAGAAGTGAGAAGTGATTTTGGTAGAACTTTACTTTATGACAGGGAAGTCATTGATTGCTTGTTTGATAACTTAAATACCTGTCTGTTTCTGGGGTCAAAACCTAGCAAGACACCCCAACTAGTCACTCATGCCCCTTTCACACCAACGCAACTCCGGTTCAAGCTCCGTGCTAGAGCTTTTCTGGTTCAGAACCGGTTCTTCGGTTTAGCGCCGGCTCTTTTCACACCGCTCAGAGCCCGACTGGTGCTGCCGCTGCTGCGTCATGACGTCACAGTTTACGTCGCTGAGTTTCTCCCCAACGCCGGAGCTCACCTCACAACAACGGGCCGGGGACTGCGTTGCTTTTAATCATACGAAGCCAGATTAAATTAAATAACGACTTCTCCAACCTTATACTTTTCTCCAGAGTGCCGTGGTTCATTGTTTATTAATGTGTTTCAGCGGCATTTACCGACCGCTGCAGTGCTGCTCTTCAACGGGAGTGTATTCTCCCGTTAGCTCCGGGTTAGCTCACACGGCTCTAAAGTATTCACTGTCTGACTGTCACACAAGCAGCTGATACATATCCCCAGTTCCCCTTAAGTGAATGTGTGTCAGTCTGAATTGACGCTGTTTGGTGTCAGTCTGAATTGACGCTGTTTGGCATCACAACGCTGTTATGAAAGTTTCTCTGGTATAACATGGGTGATGTTAGCATAGCAACCGAAGCTAAACTGACTACTTGCTAAGCAGTTTTCTACAGGCACTTTTTACCGACGTATTTTTCATTATGATTCTACTTGTGATAGTCGGACATGACAACCTGTGCAGCCCATGTATTGATTCCATCCGATAGCTGCTATAATAACAAACAAACGTCTGCCTGCTCTCCACAATGATCAATAACAGCGAACGGATGGTCAAAGTAAACAGAATCACACGAAGCCTGGTTAGTGTTGCCTGACTTTATAAAGTGTGTTTTTTTTTAACAAGTGTGTGGTTGCGTTCTAGTCACTTTGCTCAGCACTACTGCTTGTTACAACTTGTATTTGCCGTACTCGCCTTAAGTGTTAGCTCAGGTTAATCTCGCCCCCCTCCGACGTAAGCGTGACGTATGCGGTTCTTGCTTCTAGACGGACAACTTTTTGGTGCTCGAAACGAACCGGATTCCGGAGCTATGACGCTGCTCCGCTGCGGTGTGAACAGGAAAACCCGGTGCTTTTCAAGCACCAGCACCGAACCGGCCCTGAAACACCGTTGGTGTGAAAGGGGTATCAGAGAAAATCAGGACATTCTGGTGTAAAGTTTCAAAATAAAAGACCTTTGAAGTCTCTATTGTATGAGCTATCATCCCTCTGTTTTTAGATAAGAATAAAACAAAAACTCTGCAGTATCAAATACTTATTTCACTTCAGGGTGATAGCAGGACACCCCATCTAGTCACTCAGAGAAAATCAGGACATTATGATGTAGAGTTTCAAAATAAAAGACCTTTGAAATCTCTATTATATGAGCTATCATCATTTTAGATAAGAATAAAACAAAAACTCTCCAGTATCAAATACTTATTTCACTGCAGGGTGATTGATAGCAGGACACCCCAACTAGTCACTCAGGGAAAATCAGGATATTCTGATGTGGAGTTTCAAAATAAAATACCTTTGGAATCTCTATTATATGAGCTGTCGTTCCGCTGTTTTTAGATAAGTCTTTGATATAACGTGCGGGCTGGCTTGACTGCGTTTTCCCAAGTGGAGGCTGGCTTGACCGCAGTGGGTCAAAGCACTTCAGCCCCGAAGTTATATCAAAATATGGGCAATTATGTCACACAGATGACGTCTCTGAGCCAATAGAAGCTCTGTTTCACTTTCGATTTCGACTTCCTGCTTCTCGTTACTTGGTTTAGCGAGAAACTACGCCCGGTCTGACACGTCTACGTTAAGTTCTTCGGTTTGATAAACAAATATTTATACAAATATTTATCAGTTGTTTACGATCACCTTCAGAACTGGGAGTATGTTGAAGTGGACAACATATAGCCTGTTCGGTCAGACCTGCTAAAAACACTCCAACAGGTAGGCTTACACAGCAGGACACGTTTGAAAGTGAATTCATCTGGTTTAAGGGTTATGTTGAGCTAATAATTTAATCAAAATCTTTGGATGTTTAATAATCGCTGTGGCTGTGAGTGTTTTTTTGATCATGTGATGGAATGTAAGGCTGTTGCCTTTCTGCTACTGTTCGAGATAAGAGACGTGATCTCTTCCTTGTCATGAGATTTATTTTCTTAAACGTCTTTCTTAAACGATTTATTTTCTTAAACAGATGTTCTCTCTCTGACAAACACATATATGCCCATAAAGACACTAAAGCTAAAAGGTAAATTAATTTGCAACATGTAGATAAACATAAAGATAAAGGACATTTTCAACTATAGGACAAACCATTTGCAACATGTAGATAAAGGGCTATAAAATACATCTGGTCCAGAATAGCATCCATCATCGTCAAAATGTTTTATCTGTGAGAGAGAATAACCTCTTTTACACACATTTGACATCGACATACAGTATGTTCCATTGGTTATAATCTTATATACTATCTTGCACAATCTTTTGAAGTTCCCTTTTTGTAATGTTTGATTTGTTTTCGTTTTAACTAGTTTTAGTCAGGCCATTTTAAATACAACATATTTAATCCTACTGCTTTTAATATTTTTCTGTGAAATAAAAATATGATATAAAATGAAAAATTATCTGTGAGGAGCTGGTATGATGTATTATTTTTATTGCCAGGCCTAAATAGTTTGTCACCTTTTTTCTAGCTCTCAAAATGGATTTCCAGAAGCTGCTCTTAGATGTAGGGAAGGCCCTGTCTACGGACGATGTAAAAGCTCTTGCATATCTTTGCACTGACCTCCTGGACCGAAACCAGACCTCAGTGGAGGCCAGAGACCTCTTCCGTCATCTGCAAGATAAAGACCACCTCTCTGCGGAGCGACCACACCTGGTGAAGGAGCTTCTCCTCATCATCAAACGCAACCGTCTGATCCGAGACCTTGACTTTACAACCAGCAACCTCATCTCTCCTTACAGGTGCACTGCCTACGTTTTACTGTTTTTACGTAAATAATTAAGTGCATTACCCAGAAGAGTGCTAACAAATGTATATCTCTATAGTAATGCATCAATATAATATATAACTTTAAGTATTTAAATAAGGGTCATTAAAGGAATGAGCTTGTGAAATTATGTGTAGAAACAATTGTAAAGTCTATGGTTGAAAAACTCATATTGCCAAAACAAATTTTATTGTGTGTAGAAAGGATTTGAATAACATTTACATGAATTGTTATCCTTGTTTTACAGCCAAAATCAGGGCTGATATGTGTACTTGTTGCTTAAATTAGTTCACATGTTCAACCTCTAGCACATTAGGCCAGATTTAATAAGTTGTGCGTGGTTACAGCTGATATAACAGTGAAATAGGGTTGCAACTAACACCCTGCAGTTGATTTGCATGATGAATGGATTAGTTGTAGGTCATTGCAATGTCCAAATATAGTCCACAGTTCAAGGGGACATTTTCAACACCATACCATTTTATAATACCACCATTTATCATCATAAAAGGTCATTAAAACCAGAACATTTGCATATTCAAAAGGCTGGAACCACATATTTGTGGGTACATTTTTACAAAAAATATGGCTTAAACAATTTTACTGTTTTATTCTAAAAATCAACTCATCAATTGAAAGCATTTAAGCATACATACCATAGAAAAGGTTCCTAATCAGAGGTGCATCCTCTTTGTTAAATGTATTTGGTGACCTCACAATGGTGTCTACTTAATGTCCAGTTAAACACTTGGCCTCCTTTAGAACATTAAACAGTTTTACTTGCTTTTAATTTTTTTTTCTATTATTACAGAAAGCTGCTTTACAACCTGTCTGAGGGGATTACTGATGACGACTTGAGAAATGTGAAGTTCTTGTTGATCGGAAGGCTTGACCGTAGAAAACTGGAGGAAAATGTTGTGAGTGCATCATCACAGAGTCCTTTTGTAGGAGTTGAGATTGAGTGTGTTTATGCCAATTAACTTAAAGGTCCCATGTCATGCTTTTCCGGTTATTACCCGTCCCCTTGTGTGTTATGAAGGTTTTTATGCATGTAAACGGTCTGCAGAGTCAAAAACCCTCAAAGTACACCCTGTAGGGAGTAAAACTCTAACACAGAAAATACCTCCCCAAAACGCCTCGTTGGAGATTTCTCATTTTCTTCCTGGGTATCGCTACGTAGGGATACCCAGTAGCCATGCCCAGAGCTATGGCCGCACCCTCTGCCAGCCTTTCACGAAACAAAGCTTTCAGCGATTCATGCCGGATATGTACAGCGTAGGGCACTGAAGAACGATGCTGTTCCTACTTTGTTTGGACCAGCGGGAGATTCGGGTACACAACCTGTAAGTATTCATTGTTGTTTGTGTATTTATGATGTTTAAAACAAACAAGGTATCTACCACGACTGTTTAAATGGGTAAACGTTTTTTGGGCTACTACGTTGGGATCGCGGAGAAATGCTCTCCGCAGACCCATTCTCACAGCGTTATAAACCTTTTTCTTACTCAATATCAAGCCACACTTATTGTTTTTACTTCGGCTGTGAGTGTTTGTGTGTGCTCAGGATGAGTTTTGCTTGTTCTCCTGTATCGCCGACACGGAAGCCTGTCTGCTCCGTTGCAGCAGCGAGCAGCAGCGAGCAGCAACGAGCCTCTCAGCTTCGCGACCAATCAGAGCACACTGGGCTCACAGGGAGGGGGGGGGTTGGGCAGGAGCTCCAACAAGCCGTTTAGGACAGAGAGTGAATACCGGTGAATACACATACTTTACAGAGATGCTGTATGAGAAACCAATGTGAGTTTGGAAAATTGCACAGTATAAATCTATTTTAGTAGACCTCAACAATGGAATTATGATCAGTAGAAATGGCCATGGCATGGGATCTTTAAGTAGGCATCAAATAAGCATCAAGTAAGCTCTTATTCAGTAAAGAGTAAAAGAAAAACTGTAATCTGATAAACTTTTCAGTCCACACTGGAGGTCTTCCTGGCGATGGAGCACATGGACCTCATCAATGACACTAATCTAAAGCTACTGGAGACCATTGTCCAATCAGTCTGTCCCATGTTGAAAGAGAAGATCAACTGCTTTAAAGCACTGCAGGGTAAGCTACAGACAAAAGTAACACATGCTATATGTAATGACAAATGTAGGAATGAGGACACAAATAAAGACTCTGAAAGCACCAGGATAACTTTCATAAAGTTTTACTTCATTATCAGAGTAGTGAGGTGAGGACAGCAGCACAGAAACCTCACTATACCCACAACATGCCAACTCTTCCCTAATTTATATTATTATTATTATATATCTCAAACTCCGATTTACAATTGCACCAATTACCTAGTCAAAACTTGGATGTAGGGTCCATACAAATAATATACTGAAAGAGGAAAAAGGTAGACAACTGTTTAAAAAAAATAATTATGATTTAAAAGGATGTTTTATATTTACTACAAAAGGAAATATTATTTTTAACTGTGGGGACTTGAGTTTTGTCTCTAAAAGAGAGATGAGTCCACAAGATGTGAGCGTGTCAAAATACTTTTGTCCCTCAATGTAGAATGTAGCCAAGTACCTCCATAGTCACACACACACACACACACACACACACACACACACACACACACACACACACACACACACACACACACACACACACACACACACGTATCATGTATTTGTGTTAGTCTTTGTGCAAATCACGATTCTATTGGTTTATGTGTGTATTTTTCAACTACAGAAACTAACATCAGCCCTGCAGCTGAAGAAACAGGTCGGCAAAGATCAGTGTCCTTCCCAAGTGATCAAAACCAGGTACGTTCTGTGATATTTTGAAACGCTCTGAGTTTCAGTGACAGATTTCTTATATGTTATTATTGCCTCATCTCTGAATTGTCGAACAGTAAGGCAGTGAGAATGAAGTCTTGTTCAGATTTTTTTTCTGTGTTTGTTTCAGGTCCCTCAATCTTTAGATCTTGAGAGGGTTGCCTCATGTCACCTAGCAGGTAAAATACTTTTTAAAGATAATTTTGGATCACCATGTTATGGTTTATCTGTGTTGAAAATAGTTAAATAAATAAATAACCCATAATACGCTTTGCTTGTATGTCAGCAATGACTATGCAAGAGTGGGTGTAAATGTATTTGTCTTTGTTATGTCATATTACGTTTTGTTAAATGATTTTTCCTTGTTATCCTTAATTATGATATATTAAGTTATACAATTAACAGTAAAATGCTGTATATTGTTTCGTTTTTTTACCATTATAGTGACAATTTTAATACTAATGATCTTTTTCTATTCTTCAGAAATATTCCCTTCAATGAATGAGGTGAGAACATGCCATTAAAAGATATGACGATATCATTGTTTAATTTCTCGTGACTTTAATGGTCTTTTTTTTTGTCGCTCACACAGTCTACCATGAATACTTCAAACACCTCTTTGGGTGAGTCTTGTGTTTGGTTGGCTATCTCAAAATTCCATCATTTGATGTGCAGTGAGTGGATTATTTCTGAACCCTCTTTTATCATTTTTCAAGATTTACCAGAGGGGCTTCACGTTGGACAAGCATGTGAGGTCCTGCCTGGACTGAGTGATTTAAACATTGGAACAAGCAGCTGTGGCTCCTTGAAAGGTAATTTTTAGAAGGTTCTTTGTTCATGTCCAACCTTTTTATTATTCATATATAATGTTTGTGTCTTTATCTTTGCCTAAATTGATTGTCCTTCCCTCATGCAATCCTCTGTTCCATAGGGAGGATTGATGCTTTGGAAATGTTGCCTTCTCAGAAAAACATGGCTTCCTCTGAAATGAATACATCTCTGGCTACAAACACACACATTGAGGTGTGTCATTTCATATTGATTTTACAAGTGCATGTGTTCAAGGAAGGAGTGATATGGCTCTGTGTGTGTTCACTAAAGCTATTGTTTGAATATGAAACCCACTGCAAAACAAAAAAAAGTGCCCTCTCTGCAGTGCAAAGCTCTACCATGTCTGTCTGCAACGACCACTGCTGTACTGTTTGATTGAATAAATACAAACCATAATTACCCCGTCTAGACCACAAGCGTATTAGACATGTGTCAGTGCACTGCGTTCATCCAGGCTCTCATCTCAGCCCTGGATCTCTGGTGTAACCGCATCCTGTACCGTTTTAAGCGTCAAATCAAAGTTTTGGAAACTACTCATTTATTCCCAGCATCCGGAAAGCAAAACATTGAATTTATTGTGTATTCAGGACTGTTTATAAATGAACAAACTGTAACCTAAAATGTACATTTCCTGCTATAGACCTTTTTTGACATGCACTTCCCCATTGATCCACGGTCATATAAAAAATAGATCAGGTATACTACTATACTGACCTATGCGTGTAAATCTGGACATTTAAAATGTAAGCAGTTCTTAAAATCCTATCCTAAGTTGAGTATTTATCTCTGTAGGTTTTGGGAAAATATCCCATGATTGCAGCAGAAAGAGGAATCTGCTTGATTGTGAACAACTACAAATTTGCTCGAGATCTCAAGACACGGGAGGGCACCAATTTGGATGCAGGTAATCTTGTGTTTATCTTGTTTTTGAAATTTCAAAAGGAACTGGTGCAAACTTGAGTCTGTTTTTATACATGTTTGTATTTGCATCTGTCTGTGTTTCTTCCAGAGTGTCTGTGGAAAGTGTTTGAATGGCTCGGCTTTGAGACGGTGTTGGAGAAGGACCTTACAGGGGATGAGATTCTGTCCGTGATGCAGAAGCTCGGCGATAGGAACCACAATCAGATGGATTGTCTGGTTTGCTGCATCCTCAGCCACGGCAAGGAGGGGAGTATTCACGGTGTGGACGGTCAACCTGTCGAGATCAAGAGACTGATGGAACGTGTCAATGGATCCCATTGCCCCTCTTTGGCAGGGAAACCCAAGCTCTTCTTCATCCAGGCCTGCCAGGGCACCAGTGAGCAAAAGGCTGTTTACATTGAGGCTGACGGTCCTGCAGAAAGTTCTATTTTCAGCGATGCTTATAAAGCCAGTGACACCATCCCAGCAGATGCAGATTTCCTGCTGGGAATGTCCACCGTTACTTCTTTTGTCTCTTTCAGAGACAAGAGAAGTGGCTCGTGGTATATTCAGTCATTGTGCCAAAACCTCGTCCAGATGGTGCCAATGTGAGTAGAACAAAATATCTATAATTGTTGTTTTTGTATAATGGGAATATGTTCAGTGCTTGGAACTAGTTGTGTATTTTTTTCATTGTATGCGACTTTATATACAGGCCTCTTTACTAACCCGATACAATTCAGTAGGGAGTACTTTCATCCAGTTAACCCTTTTAAATTCAAAACATACATTTGACTACCATTTGACAGTATGTAAACTGGTTCAAATTAGCTCCAGCTAGACTAACTACAAAATTAAATTAGCGCTTATATAATACATAACTTATGATAATATATACTGACGTATGCTATTCAGCATAATCAGTTAATGTACTTTTGATACTTTGAGTACTTTTAGTGATTAATGCTTAAATATAACAGTTTTGAATACAACACTATTACTTGTAATGCAGTATTTTTATTGAGTGTTATTAACATTGACTTGAATCAATAGGTTGACATCTTCTTCCACTCTTTATCTTGGTTACTACTGTAATATATGATTGTTTTGAAATAAAAAGCAAACAAATTAAAAGTGATTTGTGTAGTTTTTAAGTTCACTATCTTAAAGCTTCTTTTGTTTTTCTCCCCAGAGGATGTGATCTTGGGTCTATCATGACCAAAGTGAATGCAGATGTTAGCAAGAAGTCCAATGGTATAAGGAAGCAGATGCCTCAACTAGTTTCCATGCTCAGGAAGAATTACGTCTTTCCGATCCCGGAGGCCCCTGCTCCCGTCCTCCCAGCCTGAGACCATGACAACAACAATCTGGTGTCAGATGATCCCTGAGACACAAGGGGTTTACATCGGCTATTCACCATTTTAATCTGCTGGATTCATTGTTATAAAGCAGTGTTTTTAACAGTGTTTTCACAACAACACCTGAGACAGCTCCTTTTGATAATATAGAATATGAAATGTAGTTTTGAAGAAGAGAGGATGATGAAATAGATACATTTTGAACTATTTTTGTATAAATACACCTGGTATGATACACACAGTATGCACACAAGTTCAATTCCCTTTCTCTATTTAAAGCTGCACATTTTTACAGAATATATATATATAGTGTAGAACTTCAATAAATTGTTTGAGCTAATCATGCACATACAACCAGCAATTTATGCAACATCCAGCTCTTTAAATGTTAATTGAAATGTTGCAGGATCATTAAAAGGCATGAAAAGTCAGATATTCCTGGTACAATCACCATACACAAGATGATCTCCCAAATGTAATTGTTCTATTTTTGCTATCGTCACTTAATACAACTTTATATATGCTTAATTTTACTTTATACATAAGTGCAGTTATTAATCAATCATCAGAAGTACAGGACATCTTGTGGTGTTCTAACAGAGATTTTATACCAATGAGAAAATGCATTGTAATGTGAAAATATTTCTTAATTCCTGTTCATTCTTACTGTTCATATGCACTGAACTAAACCAACAAATATTATGTTTCTGTCTGATTCATTTCCAGCAATCAAACAAAGGTACCATATACTTATTTTGTGTGTTTGTTTTCTCAAACTCTAAGACGTTGTGATGGGCATTTCTCATAATGTTAAAATACTTCATACACAATATTTCTACTTATTAAAACAAAATACAAATTAATTAGTAATACATTTAGGAAAAGTGTTATCTGCAGCCATGCTCAAAAATGTATTTAAACATTTTGTTTTTTATCAATGAATGTGAGTAAGCAGAGCGTTGAAGCCCAAATGCATTGCTCTGCACTGCTCTTGAACCTGGAAGTGGAAATAAAAAACTGAAATGTATTATTTTGAGAAGCTAAGATTTCAGTGTATTGGTATAAAACTGTAAACTAAACAGTAATACTGGGAGGGTGTAAGAATACATACTGAATGAAGAAAACAGCAACACCAGAATAATGTTCACATGCCACATTTGAATGGTTTCTGTTGCTAAAGGTATTTGAATGGAAATCGTAGGCCTATAATTGCTTTGAGACCCCTTTGAGTTTACGTTTGTTGAAGAAAGTAGGCTATGTTTTCTATATTTCTCCAATTCACTCATATTATACATTTAAAAAAAATTATAAAATGATATTCCAACAATATACAAATTTAGAAAAAATGAAATATACTGGCTTAACATGGAGAAATCTTTCTTAACCGAATGTTTGTAGAAGTAAAACATAAAATGGAGGGAGAGAGACGAACAGAGAGAATGCTTGAATCACCTTTGACTGTATACTAATAAGAAACCCACTTTTTCTGAAACATTTACTTTAATCCAGTAAAATATAACTGAACTTTTGTAACCATTAATTAAGAATTATGTTCTATTGCAAAAACACTTAGGCACCATCACCAGCAGGGGGCGCTGAACATCTCTCTCCTCTCATTGGTGTCAGGTGACCCGCTGGTGACCCGGATGTTGACATGATGTTGAATTCGGTATTTTACCCGGCCGCTACCATGAAGAACTGCTAGCATCTTCACCTCATATTCTTCATAATAACACAAATTGATGCCCTGAAAAACATCTCAAATTCGTGTCTGAGACTTTATTCATTTTCTCACACACAAAAGGACAGACATTTATAAACATGTCTCAAGAAGGATATACATCACCAGCAGGGATAACCAGCGCAGACACGAGGTTTGTTGATTTATTAATTACTAATTGTTTAACGTTTGCTTTACATTAATGACACAATGCTGGCAATGTTACCACCAACCGGTTCTACTGACGCATAGTCTTGTAATAATGATACACAACGTTAGCTAGTAATGATTGAATGAACGCTGTCAAGTTTCTCAGTCACAGTGAAATATTGACTTAACATTACCAATAAAACTCGACATACATTTTAGACAACTGAAACACATGTTGCAAGCTGTTTTTAGCAGAACAGTTATTAAAGTTAGCTGTATTTTGAAGGGTATCTTGGTTACGACTAGAGGTCTTAATGCTTTTCTGTTTGTTTTTTTGCCATCAAAAGGCAGCCATTCTTTAATTATATTTTGTATATTTAAAGCTCCAAATGTGTTCTTTAGAGACTCTCTTTAAGCATTAGATAACACATATGTTTAATTGAATGACAGGACCTAACTGCGTCAACGTCTGAGAGCTAACGTTACAAAAGAGAGCAACACATCCGGGCATTTTGCCTCTACGTCCTCACTGATGAGACTAGCTCGCTAACGTACGTGTGATGGACAAACCCTCTTATCCAGTTACTATTAAATTGTTAGCCAAAACACTCATGTGGTCATTTAACTATGTTTTATCATTGCAATTCAGAACTTCTTGCAGCATTATATGTATTTACAAAGTCTATGTTTTAACTCATTTCTATCTCCTTTGTGAATTGTCTTTTTGTTAAATATATTTTGTTTTTTAATACTTATTGGTTATTGCCTATTTAAAGCACTTTGAATTGCCTTTTTGTCTGAAATGTGCTTTATAAATGAACTAACCTTAACCTTAACATGTCGAGTTTTTGTAATTTAAAGACCCTGGTTAGGCAGAGTAATATGGCATAATGTTCCAGCCTTACTTATTATGGTGTAACTAACTAGCTGACAGTTAAAGTTAGCATTTTAAATATCAATATAATTCACATTTTTCCCCGAATAGAATAAAGGTTTTATGAAGCTGAAACTTTGTTTTAAGAAGATTGTCTCTGAGGCACAGAAAGGGCCATATTTGAACAACCCTTATAGTAGTTTCTGATCTGGAGTTTTGTGTACAACAATGAAATATCCCTTTTTGGCACTATCACAAAAGGAATAAATCCCTCACAAATGGGAAAATGTATTGGTTTAAGGTTTTACTTATATATCGAAGCGCAGAACAAAGGGCTCAGGTGGCTCAGCAATACGTTTTATCCCTGATGATGATATATTTTATGATTTCAATGACACTTTTACATAATTACAATGAAATGTCATCCACTGTCAACCTGCTTTTGATATTGTTACCACAACATTCACACCAAAAAATTGAAGAATGGTTTCCTGAGTGAGTGTTTGTGAGCAGGGTTGTTCTACTCTTCTAATATCAGAGAAGCACATGGTAACAGGCCCTACGTAGCTGTGTACGTAACCGGATGTATGATTACATAGAAGAAGCTCATGAGACACTGTGTTTTACATACGATAGCATGATGACACAGCCCGTAGGGAGACTACTTCCATTCTTGCAAGGATAATAAATACATGTATCGTGATATTGAATCTCAAGCCGGTGACGAGTGATATTTTTCTAACACTGTTTGACAGCTTGAATTCAGATGAATCACAGAGGACCAACCCCAAGAAAACGCCTATTCAGATCCTGCATGAATATGGCACCAAGAGTGGCAACCTCCCTGTGTACGTGATGGAGAAGGCTGAAGGAGAGGCTCACCAGCCCAGCTTCATCTTCAGTGTGAAGATTGGAGATGTGTTATGCACAGGTACTGTCCCGCCTCCTACTTCAAGCTGCCTGTCACCTGAGCTTTCTTCAAGTCTCAAGTGACAGCAGCCAAGGAAGAATAAACAGACAACACACACTGACTGTTGTTACTGCTCCTCTCCATTTACCCCAAAGAACAGACACAGATTCACGTGCACTCAGATACAAAATGAATGACAGAAAGATGCAGGATTATTATTCAAGAATCTTCAAGTGATACAACTTAGTAATTATAATGAAGTAAACAATGATTGACATGAAAAAAAATACTTGAGACTTGACTTGAAATATATTTGAAGCTAAGAAAAGGAACATGCATTTGGGAAAGGTGTTTTTATTTGAGTTAAAAATCCTATGACTAAAATTCAGAAAGAGCACTCAAGCAATGCGTTATCTTTGTTTACAGACGTGGCGGTTGCTGCAGTAAACTTTTTTTTTTTAAACTAAGTTATTTGACTTCAGGGAAAGAACAGAGCAGGTTAAGAGAGGATGAGAAATAATTCCAAAGCTATCAATGTTGAGGTGATGAGAAATAATCCAGTTTTTAATCGACTTCAAAAAACAGTATGCTTTTGAAATGGGACATTTTTGTCTCTCTATTCCCATATGTCCTCTCCAGTAGCCTCCCAGGTTAACCTTTGCTGTCTGTATTACAGGACACCATATTTACTTTTGTGTTTATGTGTTTGTAATTGTATTTTGTTTCAGGCCAAGGTCCCAGTAAAAAGGCTGCTAAACACCAGGCGGCAGAGGCGGCTCTCAATATTCTGCAGATAGACGCTGGAGCAGTGTGAGTAGAGCTGGAAGTGTTACAGAAATAAAACTGATTGGCAGCGAATATTGATCGATTAATACTTAAAGTCGTTTTTGAAATACAATTTCTGTCAAATGAATGAATGAATGCGTCTGCTATGGTAGTACTAGGGATGCCAGAAACTGACCATGATCAAAATCGAAAATCGGACAGCCGTGGCGAATATTAATCGATTATTCGACCCCCCCCCCCCCCCCGCGGGAGAGAAAAAAAAAAGTATTTTCGCAGAGCTTGCATTTGACTTCATTTGCACTTGTCAGTTCGAAGTACTCTTGGAACTTCTGTGGACGTGCCGCTCTGTTCATCTTTAGTTGTGTTCTCACTGTTCTGTCACCAATAACTCAATCGCACGTGTGACGGAGAGGGGGGGGGGGGGGCGGGGTCAGTGTGTAGCAGGCTGCAGCAGCAGTCTGCACTCTGCGCTGCTGGCTTCCTCCAAGTTTACAGTAAAACAAACTGGTGGTGTGATCAATGGTCATTTACAATTATTAATACTATTACTATTATTAGCATTAGTCTATATTTTGGTTGAAACCAAACCAGGAAAAAAAAAAGAAAAACATAAATATTAATAAAAAAATATATAAATAAAATCGAATTTTAAAAATAATCTTCGATTATGGAGACTGTAACGAATAATCGAATAATCGCTGGCATCCCTAGGTAGTACACTGCATTCTTTTGGCTTTAGGAGTTGGAGTTAGACTTAAATAATGTATTATATCAGTTGATAATAAAATAATTAGTGGCAGGAGATCTAATGAAAATAACATATGCTAAAATTTGAACTAAACTAAATAAATACATAAATAAAATTGTTTAACTGACATCCTGTTGATCTGTAACCGCTGTGGGAATCACTTTGACGTCATTTTTCAAACAGGAAGGTTCCCGTGAAGTCTGAGAGCAACGGTGTCGTATCAGAAACCAACAACCACCCCAACTCAGTGGGGATACTGCAGGTAAACCACAGCTGTCCTGTGTGTGTGTGTGTTATTAGCTATTGTATATTGCAAATTAGTATGTGTACTTATTTCCAGGTTGAATAGTAAAAAACAAAAGTAGTCAAAGCTTCATAAACGTATTTACTTCCAGAGATTAAATATCTTGTTTGTTTATTAAACTGTAACGGCCTGTCCACGCGGCGGCGTGCGTTGAAGCTTCAACCCTTCTGCCCATTCACTTTGAATGGGGTGACGTCACGTTTCGCCGAACTGCATTGTGGGAGCGAAGCGTAGATTTGCTCGCGTTGCTCGCGACGAAAGTTGAGCAATGTTCAACTTTTGAAGCTTCGGCGGAAGCGTCAGCCAATCGAATCATATGCCAGTACAAGCTCTAGCCAATCAAACCGCGTGCTTGTGTGTCCGGGGCGGGAGATTCATGTTGTTGGTCGAGTTTCAGCCCCCCCCCCCCGATGGCAAGCGACAACGCACGCCGCCGTGTGGACAGGCCGTAACTGAAAGTGGCATGCAGCAATAGCAATATATCCTTAAAGGTGGGGTAGGTAAGTTTGAGAAACCAGCTCGAGTGCGCTAGAATTTGAAAATACACAACCGGAGAAAATCTGCCACTTCGTTATAGAGCCCCTCTTCCAACACACACGAACGTGCACATGACCAATGAGGGCACGAGATAAGTTTGTGCACAGATGGAAGGCTGACAGGCAGGTAGGCCATCCAGTTATTTTAGCCGGGCCGGCTAAAATGATTGGTCGTGCTTTTTACAGTACTACAGCTTCCACAGATGACATTTTTTTATGGATTTTTTGTCAAAGCACTTGAGATATTCATTGCTATCGGGATGTAAAGAGCATTCCATGGAATATAACAAAAAGTGTATCTCGAGCCGGTTTCTCAAACTTACCTACCCTACCTTTAACTATAAAAACTGTATTTTTCCTTTTTTTTTCTCCCACATTTTTCTCCTTTTTTGTATTTCTTTCTTTGTGAATATTGGTTCTCAGTACAATCACAAGGCATTTCATAACACACTTGTTACAAAACAACCGATTAAGTGAAATGTAAAAAATAAATACATTATAAAAACACTAACTCAGATTTCCCTTCTCATCATTCCATGTGTCTCTCCTTCAGGAGTTGGCGCTGCAGAGAGGATGGCGTCTTCCTGATTACACCGTGTTAATGGAGGCTGGCCCGCCACACAAGAGAGAGTTCACTGTTACGTGTCGAATGGAGTCCCTGTCAGAGAAAGGTAGGGGTGTCTTTTCAACATTTAAACATTTTGTGTTGTTGTTGTTCACAATCTAACCTTGTCTCGTGTTTCGACAGCTGTAGGGAATTCAAAAAAGGTGGCGAAAAAGACAGCTGCAGAGAAAATGGTGTCAAAGCTTCAAGGTCTGTCGGGCTGTTCGGAAATCACATGGGTATGTCAAATATTTCTCCCCTTTGCAAAGTGACCACTGGAGGCAACTTTTCTTAGCAAATCTTCTTGGTGATAATTGTCGTTAATTTGTGTTATATTTTATTTTCCAGACTCCTAAACCAAGCGTCCGATTTGAGAACTTAAGGAACTCGTCGGCGGAGAACATAAATTTACTGAGGAGAAACCCGCTGAGCATTCCAAACACAGATTATATTCAGCTGATGTTGGAGCTGTCCAAGGAGCAGGGCTTTGAGGTCACATACTTTGACATTGGTAAGAAAACACACACTGTAGTAGTGTTGCTGGGGTTGCTAAGATACAGAGGGCCTTCCTCTAAGCTCCTCTGACTAAAGAAAACACTGGACGCCGTTTGACTGCGGCTCTAGTTCTTGTTATAGATCTGTTGATAGTAAAACACCAGTAGACTGTTGAAATGAGCTTATTACTGAAACTAGAACAGATGAGGAATTATAACCAGCTATACATTCTGTAAATAATATCTATCAGTTTATTTTAAAAGGCAGCCGGTGAGTCTGGTCTTTTCAGGTTCAGGAAGATATAGTAGGATTTATGTTAACCAATGCTGTGGAGAACATGTAGGGATCTCCCAAATACCCCAAATGTTCAACTAAAATAGAAAGAGTGCGTGAGCCTGCTTTACAAAACAATGCAGCGTGACATGCAGAATTGTCCATTCGCTTTAAATGTAAAGATTTTTCAATTTCTTTGCAGACATTTTGATACAAAGACATTCCTTTTTTTGTCATCCTGCCCATCCTTTTTTGACGGGGCCTTTGCTTTTAATGTGACGCTGCTGGGAATGCTGGGATCAAATAAGCAATAACCTATCACAGCTCTGATACCCTGCTGTGAGAGTGGACACTGATGCTGTAATAAATGAGATAAAATAACAAACTGTTTTGGATAACAACGCACTGATAATCTTAACAACTATAGAAAGATAATATAAGGATTATAAATACATTTAATGGGTGTTGCTGAACATACGTACTATCATAAACCCCTCTCTGGGCTGGAGGAAGTAGAATGAGCTGAATGGAAAGCGCCCAAACACTGTATTTAGTCTTTAGGTCAAGTTGTAAAGCCTGTTGGTGTATTCCTCAGATGAGCTGACGGTGAACGGGCAGTACCAGTGTCTAGCGGAGATCTCCACCTCCCCGGTCACCGTGTGCCACGGCACGGGCATCTCCTGTAGCAACGCTCACAACGACGCCGCACACAGCGCCCTGCAGTACATCAAGATCATGGCCACCAGCAAGTAACACCTCCACGTCTGCTCCTGCTTCACCTGTCACACATCAGCTGATCATCCATCATCCTTCACACTAGTCTTCCTGCCGTGGATGAAGTCGAGCTATATTTTTATAATTATGTGTATCACAAAGCAGATCGGGAGCCGAATAACTGGACGTTCAGACTTGAATCAGGCAACTTTTAGAGCAGTATTTGTGAGGAGACAAATGGGATCAACATTAAGAATCAAACCCAAATCAAATGTTGTCTTCAGGTTGAAGAATTTCATGTTTTACTTGAGATGTCTAACGTTATGTATTTAGGATAATGTACACGTGTTATTTAAGTAGGAAGAGTGAATAATATAAAGCACTTGTTCTTTTAACTTTGTATATGTTTAGTTGTAAGTGGCAGTTCACCCCAAAATCAAAGATGCACTTTTTACTTCGTACCTTGTTGTGCTATTTATCAATCTAGACCGTCTTGGTGTGAGTTAAAGATTGTTATAATAAATATATTTGGAAGTCCACAGCACCGATTTCTCCAGACTCTGTTGTGAGTAGTTGTATTTTCTGACTGCTCCTGCTAACATCACAGTACGCTTCCTTCTGCAGATGGCGCTTCAGTTAAGAGGAAACCTATGTGTTTTTGATTTTGGGGTAAACTATCCTGTTTTTAAGCTGTAATTATCAAGCTGTGTTGTTTTTGCCTCTTTGTTTGTGAGGATGCAGATAATTCTAGGTTGCATTTGTCTTAAATTATTTTTTTTATTACAGTTTTTCCCTGTAGCAATATATTGATCTGTATTGAGCCAATCGAAGATCTTAAACATTCATATTGCTTCAGAGATATTTGCCTTTCTGTTAAACTCAAACATGAAGATTAATTGAGATTATTTTGACGTGTGTTATATATATATATATAAAAAAAAAAAAAGGGTATTCATTTTGGTTTACAAATGTTTGTTATTTCTACTGTGATGCCCCTGTGGGTTCATCAGCAGAGAGGGTGTGGCTGTTCTGTCTGTACTGCATTGGCTGCAGTGATTACACTCCGCTGTCAGTATGCAATCTACAGTGCAGGCCTCGCTGTCTGTATCTGGTTAACTCTTAAATGGATATAAAACATTACTTCATATTACCATCCTGTTGCCATTTTTTGCAGTGTGCCTCAAAGTATTTGTGATATATTAAATGCATTTACTGACTGTTGTATGGAAGTATCCCTGGTGCGGAGCAGCAACAACATGAAAACAGAAAATAAACCCAAACACTAAATGTTAACAAGTGTCAGCTGAGTGATTTTTAATGGTCACCTATTATGCAATATCCACTTTTTCATGTCTTTTATACATAAACATGTGTCCCCTCTGTAAAGAGATTTGAAAAGTTTCAGGAAAAATGATTCTCTCTCTTTTTTTCCTGATCCATTTATATAAAAACCTGTCTGAAAATGAGCTGATCAGATGTTTGGCCACTTTATGATGTCACAATGTTCAACCATGGTAAGCCTGCCAGCCTTATCACCTGAATCTCCTCCTAGAGCACCATTGTGTATTTATTTAACCAAACACTTCACAGAGGGGCGTGGCCAGCAGCAGCTCATTTGCATTTAAAGCGACAGACACAGAATCAGCACTTTTCAAACGGGGCTGAAACAGAGGGGATTATGGGATGCTACAATGGGTGATCTGCTTGGTATTTGGAGCCAAACACTTCAGAGACATGTTTTGTATATATCTGAGATCTATAATATATTGTTGAAAAATAGTTAATAGGGGACCTTTAAGTCTGGTTTCTTTTAAAGACAATTCTGGACTTGCCCAGTTTTCTATAGAAATATTCACCAATTTAGAAAACATATTGGTACAATATTTGTAATGTATTTGCTGTCAATCAAAAAGAATCCCAACATTCAAAAGTGGCGTTACATTCATTGATAACAGATGCTTAGTTGCCCTTTTACGACAAATTGTTGGAAAGTGTGTTTGACAATGATATGTAACTTGGCCGCCTCACAACAGCTTTATAAGCTAACATTAAAATGAATTGACTTCCATGGGATCTATGATAAACCACACTCGCCATCTTCTGAGTTTTACAGTTTTATTAGAACAAGCACTATGTAGCAGCAGTGTACAGTGTTCATGGAAAGATATGTACTTTGTTAAAATTGCACTTTTGAAGGTACCCATCAGGAAATAGATTTGAAACGAACTGAGCTGACAGTGCTTTGTGATAAATGTCAGTCCAAAACTAAACACAAACAATGAGTCTAATTGGTCAAACTAAAAACATCTTTTAGTAAGGCATCTGCAACATTCATTGGCAGGCTAAGTTGTCTAGACATGCAGGTAGAATCGTGATGAAGAGGTTTTCATGATTTCCTTTTTTTTTTTTTACTACCGTCTGACTATGATGCCAAACACTATGCAAAGCTTTTCTCCTACATCCACACACAACTGCTGGGATTCAGTTTTGTTCTTAAAAAAAAATCTGTAGGAGGATAGAGAAATCAGCTTCTGCAGTCGTGACCCATCTTCTAAATGTGCCGTATTTACAGTGATCACCAAAAAGGATTTGGTTACATGTTGGAGAAGCAGAGCAGTGCACAACATCTTTTAACCTCTGCAAGCGTTTTACAGTCCCTCCTTTTTTTTTTTTCCAAGTCAAAGTCATCTCCCTTTAAGACTTTAGACATCACCTCTATCCTCAGTTCATGTTGTCATTCGATGAGCCTGGGTAATGTGTGGAGTTTGTTAACGGAATACCTTCTTGCCATGGGGTTTCCTATCAGTAGTGTTTGTGAGGCATTAATAAATGCATTAAGGCACAGCAAGTGAAACCGACGACAACAAATTGTAGCATTGAGTTTGTGATAGAATTTAAAGCACATTAAAAAAAAGAAAAGAGCAAAGCAGTACTACCCTTTTGGTGTGTGTGATCTACAGTACCGTATGGACAGTGCACACAAGATGGATTTGCTTCACATAGTTTTCACTCTTCATATTTATATTCACTTCTTCCTGTTGTGGCGTCACCCTAAGAGAGGGGAATCAACTTAAATATCCCCTACACAATGTGTCGCTACTTGTGTGTGTGTTATAGTTTGTTCCTCTGTAACTCAAAAGGGGGACACTAGTTAAAACATTAAAGCTGCTTTGCAATAAATACACAAAATGCAAACTGGTGCTTTGCATAAACCATAGCAGTAGAGTCTCTGGGGAATCACACGCATTGAGATTCTTCCACAGTGTTTTTGTTACCGTACACAACTGGCTTTAAAATCTTAAACATTTCAGTAAATATTTATTTTGTTGACCCAATGAAACTGTATGTTCATGGGACGGCCTGCAGGTGGCTCTGGTGTTTCAACTATATGTCATGGGAGTGCTAACATAATTATGTAACTTATCAAAAGAAAAATGAATTCCTATTTAATGGTTGATTAACAATGGAAGCAATTAAGTAAGAAAAACACCAAAACAGCTGCTGGTTACTTTTTTTCTTCTTTGTTTCATATCATTTTAAGTTTTTGGTTGTTAGTCAGAACGAGGATGTAAATTAAAGGCATTGCTTTGGTAAACTGTGATGGGAATTTGTAGTATTTTTTTTCAGAAAATGAATAATTTGTTAGTTAACAACTTTTTGAACATTTCAAAAGAACTGTACGACTTCTATAGCTGGATGTAGATGAGAGTCATGCCTCGTGCTGGAAATATGTATCTGTTTTCCTCATGTTTCACTGTCCAGTCTATTTATAAAGCTCAAAATCACGAGTGTCTCTGAAGGCCTCACAGTCTTTACAACCTACTACACCATCTTTTCTGAGACCTCTGAATGGGGAAAGTGTTTGACGTTCGTGAGTACGGTGCACCTACTATATATGGAGGGAGTTATGTGTGTATTTGTGTAACCATGTGGTACAGAGGAGTTGGTTTCAAGTAGCAATGTTTAAAGTTAGACAAGTGGGGTGGTCCCTCTATTTACACGGACTCCATGACAGATGTGTGTTGACCTTTTAAAAAAAGAAAACATCCTTAAAGGTAGTAGTATCCTGCGTCACATGTCCAAAACACCAGAATAGGATTTACATTTTAAAACCCACTTCTCCTCCATGATCAGCTTTGAGAGCCGCTGTTACTCCATCAATGGACGCCATACTTCTCCTCCACTGCAGATTATTTTGAATGAGTTGTTTCCCGAGAGAGAGTACTGCTATCACACAGATTCAACAGTATAAAAAAAAGGCAAAAATAAATGAAATCTGCCAATTCACATGATATTTCACTAAATTCTGAGTCCAAGATATTTTATAAAAATACCTTTTTTCTACGATAATTGATACAGTAAATGCGGCTTTATGCCAGTGAAAGCTGCTCTCTAAACATGCACGTAGGTATCGTAGGTAATCAAAAGGTCTACTTCATAGATTAGTCTAACCCGAACTGCTGTCAGAAATCAAATGGCTTCGACGATAAAGCGCTTAATCGTGTGTCTTTTTAAGGCAAGGACATACTCAGAAGTCAAAGGAGCCGAGGAGAGATCTACATGGGAGTGGTACGATTGTTGCCGTGACAACTCAGCGTCCACAAGCACAATGAAGGTGATTCTTCCGGATGTTTCCAGGGATGGATGGCCGTGTGGCAGCAGGACCTCCGCAGGGTCTCTGCGCATCAGGACGTCCCTCAGCTCTGCGGCCGCTCGTCTCCCTGCACACGGACGTTTCAACATGTCTCTCTCAACATGTCCCTCTCAACATGTCTCTCTCAACATGTCCCTCTCAACATGTCCCTCTCAACATGTCTCTCTCAACATGTCCCTCTCAACATGTCTCTCTCAACATGTCTCTCTCAACATGTCCCTCTCTACACCTCATTGTGCATAGGTTACGGCTGTCGTGCCTGCGATGACGATATGACGGATGCATGTTTCTCCGTGTGCTACCACAGGTTCACCGTAGACTCCATGTTGATGAAGCCGGGGTTTTTGCGCAGCTCCCAGTACGTGTTGTTGGAGACCCACCGCTCCCTGTGGTTGGAATCAACCACTTTCCTGGAAGAGGGAGAAGGGACACATGTTAATGTAAAACTAGGACAGAATAGAAGGGGCATTAAAAGTTACAAAATATGTACGGAGCCGTGGGAAGAGGGGTAATACTTCAAAGGAAAACTAAGAATTTCTGAGATTTAAGTCTTAATTTGATTGGAAACATAAAAAAGCATGAACTGTATATTCTATGAGATTTAAAAGGAAAATTATGACGAAACATGAAAATGTTAAGTATTCTCTTATTTATTACATTTAAAAAAGAAGGGAAAATAGTAGAGAATAGACGGAATAATATGATATGAATTTTATACAAGTTTTTATATGAATTTTTATGTTTTAATGATATATTAATATGATATTTTATTACTTTGTTAAACATACTTTACTATGACTTCCGGATGATATTTAGTTTGCATTTTATGAAATTACCTGTGACATAATATGCAAAAAATAATGAGCCCTTTCTATACACCGCTTGATAAATTGGATACAAATAATGAATATGTGCATTTCTGTCTTTGTGCATACACAGAGTAATACACATCTAATCTCTGTGCTTACTTGAAGAAGCGTGGCTCCATTTTGATGTTGTTCTCCTCGTTCCACTTCCTCCTGACTCTCTGCAGGTCCTCAATGCGCTGCTTATCTGAAGAGGCCATCTCCAGGTTCCCCTCCTCCAGATGCCTGCGTGACCAAACATCACATTTCAGTTAATCAGATGTAAGTGAGATGCTGTACAAGAACAGCAACAGCACAGGAATTTACAAAACCTAAATATTAACTTGGCTTCTCAAAGTTGAAAAAGCCAACTTTGAATGATAAGTAAAAGTGAGAGTATTGACACTTTATAAAGGTCATCTCTGTCTGCACTCATCAGACAAAAAGCAATATAACAAGCAGATGAACTCATGTTGCAATCTGTTTCTGGGAAATGAGTGGTACAGTATTTGCACTTTGTGGCAGCAGTGTATTGGGAGCAGGAGATGTGACGCTGCACCTTTGATCGGGCCTGAAGCGGGCGTCTGTACGGGGCAGAGCATCCTTCAGCTCGGGGCAAAGCTCATTCAGCTCGATGGCGAACCTGGTGAAGCCGTAGTACAGCTCATAGTCTGTGGGCATGGAGCCTGACGAGCAGAGGAAACAATGTTAACAAAAAATAAAATCGTCTCAGTTGATAACTTTTGTTCCGCACAGCCCGTCCTCTGCAATGCATCAGGAACAACATTTTCTGATAAAAAAATGTATGGCCAGTAAACCAGCACATACCTGGCCTCCAGACGCATTTGGCAGAAGGTGGGACACCACAGTAAAGACCCTCATGCCATTTCCCAAAAAGCCTGTGGATGACTTTCCCTTCTTGATCCATCACAAACCCTTGCACCTCATTCACATTAGAACTCCAGTAGTTTCCCTGTAACACAAACAGTGGGTTCCTTTATTACAATGCAGTGGATTGTAATCACATCCTCACAGGGACTGCTGGAGGAGTTTTACCTTAACAAAGGTGAGTTTGCAGAGGCACGCGCTGCTCTTTGTGTTTCTGATGGTGATCTCCCCGTAGTGTTCGATCCACCGTCGGCCACTGAGGATGTTGTGCACACAGGTGGTGACTTTGTTCCATTCATATTGATCTCCAAACCTAAATGAAAATACACGAGATCAGCAGATTGGCTGGTGTGCTGCAGGAATGACATAAGCCCATGAAGGTGAAAGCAAGTAATGAATCTGTCATAATAGATATTTCATATTAAAGTGTTGACCAAAGATAGCCCAAGAAGTAAACATTAGATTAAGGTCGCATTCACATCAGCCTTGTATAGTCCGGTTGAATCGAACCCTGGTGCGTTTAGCCGCTTGGTGCGGTTTGTTGGGGTCGGTGTGAACACAGTCCGAGACCTCTTAAGTGAACTAAACAACCGGACTCTGGTCCGCTAAAATAGGTGGTCTCGGACCGCTTGCTAGTGAACTCTGGAGCGGTTCATCGCTGGTGTGAACGCAGTCCGCACCAAAACATAGGAAGCGTAGTATTTACGTGTCACAAGAACGCGGGTGTCTTCAAAATCGTTAGCGAAAGAGTGAAGCAGAATGTGGTGTTGAACAGTGTCGTGTAAAGTAAAAACAACTATCAAACTAAAAACTATACATAAAAGTCAGAGCCACCTGCCGTCGGTGAAACCCCCTCCTTACTGCAGAACGTCTCTCATTATATGTGTTATAATGTTTTGTCTGATTGTCTGATTATATAATCATATGCGCCGTTGCTGTTGATATGTTCTCCAGATTAACAACAGCATGAAAATAACCTGCCGATGCTCCATGGCGGAGGCTCCGGTAGAAATTGCCGGGTTTTGCGTTTTTACCCCCTTAATGTCCGACCAATTGTTGAACAGCATTTCCGAGCACATGAGTTGTGTTTAAAGTTTATAGTCCGTTTGAATTTTGCCCGTGTGAACGCAAACCGAACCTTCTGAAAAATGAAACAATGTAACAAACTGTCGTCTGGTGCGCACCAGAGAAGCGGACTATTAGGTGTGAATGCGACCTTAGAGATGAGAAAGATTCACATATTTTGAGACCTGTGTGCACTCAGACAACCCAAAGGGATGCCCTTAGGGTGAAAGCACTCTAAATAAAGAATTCCCCTAAAATGATATAGTTGTTTTAGGGGCTAAAACATCTTTAACTACTCCCCGTAAAATACATTGAGTAGCTTCTTTGCAAGTACTGTCTGTTCCTTAAAGCTGGCGGCGTGCAGACCTCCATCTACTGTAGTTAACTGACTATGGATAATACAATGTCCCTTTTCAAAAAGTCTGAACTGTCCCTTTAAGGTCTGAGGACATCTGTGGCTTTAGGGTTAATCAGTATGCAAAGTTACCTGGGAATCATGAGGTTCACGGTCCCGATCGGCAAAACCTCCATAGACTTTCCCCAGAACTTGTTTTTCCATCTCACATCTGGAAAGGGAGAAAGTGAAAAACATCACATCTTAAATATAACATACTCACTCAAATCCTTGCATTTCTTCTCAATATATAATAAAGAATAATCATTAAATGTTAAGCTGGATATCAAAGAACCTAAATGAGACTGTCCCGTGAGGAGACCCCTCACTAATCAGGTCTGTGCCTACCTTGCCAGAAGGTGAAATTCTTGGACTCACAGTGGCAGGCGGAGATGGGGGGGTGGTGGCTCACCTGCGAGACCAGATCAAATAAACAGTCTGACAGCTGCTGTTGTTGAGATTATGCATCATGTACATTTATACTAGTCTCCAAACACATTTACACACTAGGAATGTATTAGAGCTGAAACAATTATAAATAAATAATATAATAAATATCTTTGTTGATTCTCTAAAGATGTATGAATTCATCTTTTCTGATTTTTGTAAGCAAAAAATTAAGAGAAATTTCCAATGCCAGTTTCAGAGATGTCAAGATTTTCCTTCACTTTCTGCTTATTTTGTAAATTACTCAATAATTTAAAAAATGTTTCGGGACCTTTTTGGTTGATATCATACCTGTTCGGAGAAAAAGCAGAAGCCCTTGTCTTCCCGAATACATTCATAACTCTCCCCGAGCAGCGGGTTGAATGGCTTACTTCCTGCTCTGTAGTAGGTGGATGAGTAGCCGGAGACGGCAAAAGCAGCAACGAGAACCTGCCGAGAGTCAAAACCACACAGCCATTATAAACAGGAAGGGATTACTTGCTTCATTTTTAAAGGCTTTGTCAGGAATAATCCCAACATTAGCATGCATTGGGCGCTATCAAAAGGACAGAGGAGCGATACAAATAAGAGGATCCAAGGTCGACAGCTGCATCGAAGCGTAGCGACAGTCGTGACTCTGCCTGGGACTTTTTCTATTGGGTGTGATGTCGATCTTTTACAGTAGATGAACAAATACAGACTAGACACAAAAGATACTGTAGGAGTTTACATCCACAGAAAACTGCATTGTGAATAGCAATGAGCAACCATCATGTTTTTCTCATTTCACTTCCTTCATTACCATGCGTTCAAAGGGGTCCTCGGTCTCAGCAGCTTTGTCCAGCAGCTCGCTGTACTCCAGCTCCTCACACATGCGCTGCAGGGTGTTGAGCGGCTCGTTGAGCTCCACCGGCATGGACACTTTGGACAAGTCTTTGCCGATGTTGTTTCTCAAGATGTTCCAGAGGTTGATGTTGCTGGTGTCGGGGCACGGCGATGGCAGGCAGCTGCGCCGCCCGTTACGGAAGGCACTGCCAGCAAAGTCTCCATTGGCCACTGGGAAGAGGAAGAAGAGAAAAACGACCTGTTTAGCAATATACTCATTGCACATCATTATCTATGACAGTCTCTGCTCCAGGGCTGCACAGAATATATTGTTTTATGTTGTCATTGAAAATCTGTGATATTGGAGGGATTCTTTTTGTTACTGTTGTGTGACTGTTGTGAATCCAAACCATTCCTATCAAACCAAACTCACACAACAACACAAACAAACTGATTAACACTGCAGGGGTAGACCAGCAGGTTGAATTACTGCTCATGTTATTGGAGTCTAGTGGCTTTAAAGAGAGCATCGATTACGGCTTCATTTACCCGTCGGAAAGAGCTGTCTGACTGCAGGATAAAGCAGTGAAAATATTCATATATCAGCATACGGTTGAACTGAAATGCTGATTTTATAAAAAAAAACTGATTATGGATGAGTTCCTCGTAAAACCCCACTTAAAGCATCCCAACCATGCCTTTAAATCACCCTGAAATAATATTACCACACCCAGATATTTTCCCAACCTCATCATTTTCATCATCATGAGGTAGTATATTTTACTGTGTGTTATGTGACAAAGATGGAGGAGAGCGATGCCATCCCTCTCACACAGATAGCTTACAAAGAGGAGCCCTTGGCACAGAGCAACCCTGCAAAGTCAACTGCCTCGGCCACGCTGATAGATGATCTTGCCAGAAGTGTCTGCGTCTGTTAGTAATGGTCATACGTGCTAATAGGGAGCACATGGATGCTTTTTGAAGGGCCAATCATGTCGCAGGTCGGGATTGGACTTACTTTGTCTGGAGACGTTATCGGTCACACTGGCGTTGTCCTCGGAAATGTTATCGCTCACATCGCTGACATATGACTCATCGTCTGAGCCCTGCGAGCGGAACAGGTACAAAGCAGAGTGAGTCAGTGCAGCGGAGTACAACACCAACTCTGATCACAACAGCAGACGGCCGTAGCCCCACACACACACACATACACAGTTACTGCGGCTTGCCAGTGGCTAACAAAATGCAGCAGTCGTCGGCTATCTGTCCCGCTGCAGTAATCATAAGATGAGACACTGCAGCATTTTCATATTTTTTATAGCGAAACACAATGAGGCCAGTGACGCCGCCAAAAGTGGAACATATTGAAGCAACTAGTTGTAGCAGCCTCTATCTGCTGGTGGTGGTTTAACCAACAGTGAAACACAGGTCTAATGTGCTGCTGCTGGATGGAGAATGGGGGGAGGGGTGGGGGGGAGTTGATGAATTTCCTTGTTGAGTAATCCTTCAACAAGGCTCAATGCATGCCTGGGGAGCTACAATGCTTAATGGCTCTTCAGAGACCACTTTTATTGGGAGCTGGGTGTTAGAAGGGGAGAAGGCAGTGAGTTTCAAGTGATGGTGAAAAAAGCAAGTCGCTACAAATCAAGAGGAATAGACCGAAGAGGCGTGTTATGATGCTGAGACTCAACTGAGGGATGAAGGCTTGAGGCAAATTGAAAAGAAGTCCTCCCATTTGTTTGAGTTTCTATTAAATGCTATCTCTGCTTTTCATGCTGCTCTCATTATTTGCTGACTAACTCCAGCTCCATCACAGTGACGTTTTATCTCCCCAGCAGCAGGGCGAGTGTAACGCCTTCCTTCCTCCACAACCCCCCCACCCCCCCCCCCCCCCCCCCCCTCCTCATGGACCACACTGACATCTTTTCTTTATCACGCAGCTGTCCTCCGTTTTACCTCATTCTCTGACGAGCTGGCTGACAGAAGCACTTCCTGGGCATCAAAGAATTCGGAGACAGACTCCGACATGGAGAGTCGACTCTCATTAGAGGCCTGCTGAGTCAGAGGGATCCCAATCTGTTCTCCAGCCTGCAGGAAAAACACACATTGCGAACACACATGATGTTCACTGCCCCTTGCTGCATAATGATGACACGTTTAAGAACCGAAACAGACCTGGATAAACACCATAAGAAGACAACACAGGGTTCATTTTGCAGCATGTGTATCCTTCCCAGAGGGCAAGCTCCCATCCTAATTAGTCATTTTTTCCATTAACCTTGATGTCAGGCTCTGCATTAAATAATGATCCTTTAAGCTTACCTGCCCGGGTGAACCGGAAAAAACATCTATCTTTAGAGACCGAGATCAATAATGCAACTGACAAATGCATGATGCAAACACTACAGCTACCCGGGTCAGCCCTCGTAGCCGTGTTGCTTCATCAGTGTAAGAGTCAGAAATGAGCTCCGTCAGTGACACACTGACCACAGCGACCTACCTCGTCAGGCGTGGAGATGATGTCCACACTGACAACTTGTTCAGTCAGGACAGACTCAGAGTGGATGCGGTTGAGTCGGGTTCGAAGTTCTGCGTTTTGGGACAGGGCCTGAACAATAAAAAGTGTGGTTTACTTTGTCGTTTATCTGTTTTTGTTGGGCAGGGGTTTGAGGGAAGATTTAGTCGTTGATGCACTGGATGTAGATCATTTGAAAGGTTTATAATCAGGGTCTGAAATTATGTTTTCTTTTTGTATCTGCCATTTCTGATATTTATGTGGAACGCATAGAACACTGAATTAGTGTTATCGTACATTAGAAATGTGGAATATTTACCCTGTATTTGGCAGGGTGCACGTACTAATTTCATTCCCTGCTTATAAGAAAAAATAATCCCACATGTTTGTTGCTGCAATTCCTCCTCTCCATTCAGGCTGTGGTGAGACCCCTTTACTAAATGAACTTCACTGTAAAAACATGGGGTCAGAAGCCCCAGTCCTTACAGGTCACCTGTCAGAAGGGTTAGCCAAATGAGTATCTCCCAAAGTTACAGTCATTCCAGTATGAAAGGATCTCTTTGTGAGTCCATGGACAGTGTGTTCTTGGTTGGATGAAGATACCACTCCTACGACTAACTCAAGACCGCTTTTATTGTCTGCCATATTTTGGAGAGTCTCTTTACGGTTGATTTGGGCAGGAGGAATGATCACAACAACAGATAAGTTTCGCGACATGCATATGGACATGTCATTTTGTTTTAAGATGGACTTGACTTCTTTTAAACTGCATTAACTGTCAAAGGGAGAACAGATGCCTATTTACACATCCGTCAGATTGGGAGCAACATTATAATTTATTTGGAGTTGTGTTTCTGTCCACCTGATGAATTAAACTCTAATATTCAGTCTATAGTAAGCTCTCTTTTAGTTTTCACCAATTCCTGAAGGTAACTGTTTAGTTGCTCAATGCTTCACTATGTCCATCAGCCAGCTGCTCCCATTGCTCGTTGTTTTGGTCAGGTAGAGCACAGTGGGTTCATCAGAGTTTTGTTTTCTGAATATACCTGACCACTGCTGACCAAAACCAAGCTGAAAGGCACTAAAACAGGAATAAATATGCACTTTGAATGTAGCTTTTAGTCTTACATTTTTACTGCGAAGAAATCTGGCTCATTAGTGGCTAAACACTTCACTCCACGTTTCACCAGCCAGCTGATAACCTTTTCTGCTCTCTTGGTGCTGAGCAGGTAGTGTACTGTGGATTTATGAGAGGTGTTTTTCACTGAAAACAGCTGCCCACTGCATCCACAAAGCTTAGCACTAATAAGAGCAGAGAGAGCAAACCAAAACCAAAACAGTTGCACAACTTAAAACCCCCAAAAAAGAGCATGCTATAAAGCTCAGTGGAGCTGAGGGAAAACGTAGAATCAGGCGGTGGGTTCATCATCAAATACCAGACCTTTTATAAACAAGTAGTGATGTGATTTTACATGCACACTTTCAGTAAATGTGTATTAAGCATCAGCAACTGAAACAACCATGAATCCTGATTATCAGCTTCCTACAGAGCTTTGCCTTAAAGACCTGACCCTCAGCCTAAAACAACATTGTGACACTAGCATCCAATTAGGAACAAAGTGGGATAAAGCAGCAGAAACATTTGTCTAAAAATGATGTTGACTGTTAGCAGAGGAAGTCCAATTAAATGACTGGGGTAGAGAGACAGCCCTAAGGAGCCGAGTTAATGAAGCGCACAGCACATTTTTCTCTCACCAATTAATACGGGAGAGATGATTGAACTTTCACTTGCCTGCTCTCTCCTCTCCACCCATCATCTTTCTCAATTGTGATTACAGTGACTGCTTGGAATGATCTGTAGTTTGAGTGTTTCATCTGACAGCCTGTCATCGTGAGCGTGTCTAACAACATGACAACTACAAAGGGTTTGAGTAAACACACCCAAGACACATCGCTCAAATCACTGCAGTAATTTCCCCGTGATGTCCTGATCACTCTGGGTAATTACAAGTTAAAACAGCATCATACTTAGCATTAGGAAGGGGAAGTGTTTCTTACAAACAGCTCAGTTGAACTACCCTTAATTAATAGTGGAGGGACAGAGGCATTATGGGTAATGGTAGTGGGCGGCTCATTACCTGTGACAGAGACTTCCTGAGAGAGTTGATCTGGGCCGACTGGTCCGTCTGCTCCTGGTCAGACAGAATCTGTTTGATCTTTTCTTTCTCGATGGCCACCGTGTTGAAGGCGGACTTCAGCAGCGAGTGGACTGCAGAGAGAGGGATGAAAGGAAGATTTGTTCACAATCCCCGCATGAATGACACTTTTTGCAGAGAGTTCTGAAACAATTAAAATGTTTGATTACAAAAATCCTGTGCCACGTAGCTTCTGTGTTGTGTAAGAGTTTTCTAAGTTATTTAAATTAATCTGTAAAGTGTCTTAACATAAGTGATGATCTTGCTTTATAAATAAAACATACTTTTATAATAAGCATAACTATATTTAATTTACTCAATAACGCATTGTGTTAGTATTGTTCAAAAATAATTAACTTCAAGCAGTAAAACGACCTGGGACTTAATTTAAAACTTGTGTGATTGTCACAGAAGCAATTATTTTTATAAGAGAAGCAAAGCCAAAACTACTGTACTGTATGAACATTTGACTCAGGTTGTTAGAAAAGAGAAAAATGCCTTAAGATTTACATATGAAAAGAAACCACCGGGACATTTCTCACTGATAACGCTGCCTGTCTACCTTTCTGGGCGATGGTGCAGAATTCCTCCTGAAGTTTGATGTAGTCACTGGCAGACTCTACGCTGTCCGTCAGTCGGGAGGCAGGGGCTTGAAAGTCCACCAGCTCGGCACACAGGTTGGGGTTGGAGGAGTGGAGGCGGACGGGGGACATACTGGCAGACAGAGGGACCTGGAAACAGGCACAGAGGACGGCTGTCAATCAGCTGAGAGGCACAGTAATGTGTTGTGTGTCTGACAGATCTGGGAAGAGCAAGGACCCTGGTCCTATAAGGCACAGTCAAATGTTACTAATTATTCTGTCCAAGTATCTGCATGTCAAGACAGAGGATTGTCAGGCTTTTCTCATAACGGTCCTAAACATGCAGGAAAATACCAAAAATAAATGTCCTGCTTCCTCATAATTCTGTAACTACTGCACTACTGTATAAAGAATCCGGGTCATGAAGGTCATTAGATATCAAAAACGAATAAATCAAAAAGAAGATGGACGCGCTGTTCGAAACTAAAGATGGGACAGAAGCTGCATTCCTTTGTTTTTTATATCCAGATGTCTTTGACCTGCTAAATCTAGAACTATCTAGAAATCTATAGATTATTGAGAAGCTTTTGAATTCTGTGAGGGCAAATCTGTTCATGAAAGGACAATCTATTTTATAATTGGTTGATTAAATAAAAAAGCAACAGTGTATAAAAGAACATTTAGTCTTTTTGTGAAGCATAGATTAATATATTAGGCAGAAAAAAGCACAATTTGCAGAGATGGAAAAATCATTACTCAGGCCACGACGCACCACAATAATGAGAGCCTGTTGCTGTGTGGACTGATTAAAGAACAAAAAAAGATTAAGAAAAATAGGCTGAAAATGCTGGATTGTGTAGGTGTGATGCAACAGCCTCCCCTCTCGAAAATGGTAAAAAGAGCAGGAAAAAGAGTGGGAGTACATTTTACATTTGACTCTTTCCCAATAACACTTCAACTGGACATACATGGCTCATACAGCAATTAAATCCCTGACAGTTACATAACCCTTACCTAACCCCAAAAGTGACTGCGTGTGTGTGTGTGTGTGTGTGTGTGTGTGTGTGTGTGTGTGTGTGTGTGTGTGTGTGTGTGTGTGTGTGTGTGTGTGTGTGTGTGTGTGTGTGCATGTGTGTGTGTGTGTGTGTGTGTGTGTGTGTGTGTGTGTGTGTGTCTGTGGGTGTGTGTGTCTGTGTGTGTGTGTGTGTGTGTGTGTGTGTGTGTGTGTGTGTGTGTGTGTGTGTGTGTGTGTGTGTGTGTGTGTGTCTTATGAGGCAGAACTGTAAATCTGAGAGGTACCTGAAGGAATTAAATCCCTGACAGTTACATAACCCTTACCTAACCCTAACCCCAAAAGTGACTGCGTGTGTCTGTGTGTGTGTGTGTGTGTGTGTGTGTGTGTGTGTGTGTGTGTGTGTGTGTGTGTGTGTGTGTGTGTGTGTGTGTGTGTGTGTATGTGTGTGTGTGTGTGTGTGTGTGTGTCTTATGAGGCAGAACTGTAAATCTGAGAGGTACCTGAAGCTGGAATTTTGCATCTTTGCCGACACTTTTTGTTCTCCATCTTCTGTTCAAGCGCTTTTCTTTCTTTGACAATTCTACACAATTGGTCTTTGCGGCACACGTGGATCAAAATATGCAAAATGTGGTTAATAGGACAAACAAGTCACAAATAAAACACAAGCCCACACACAAATTGATTGCAGTGAAATGGCAAAATCAAGACTGCATTCCCACAGATGAGTTGCAAAACAAAACACTGAGGTAGATGGAATGTGTGCACTACTATACTAAAAGTGTTCCCCTGATTTTGCATGTGTGCATGCATGTCTCTTTATGTATTTGTGTTTTTTTTTTTTACCTGCATTTCTGTGAAGTTGGGTGCTGACTGTGTCCTTTGAAGAATCTCCAAACTCTGCAGGAGCCGGCTCAGTTCGGTCAGGTTGGACTGGCATCGCGAGAGCTCTGAAAATAAAATTCACACCCACACACACATGTACAAACACAGTGTTATGTGTCATGAAATGGTCATGAATCCTTTTCTTATGGTTCAGAGAAGAGTCTACCATAAGGCCTGAGGAATGTTATATCTTTTGTGGCAAGTCTTCTTTATTGTTATTTAAAGTCAATACAAAAATTCAATACATTCCAATTACATAATAGACACAATGTACAATGTTTCTTCCATAACCCCAACCCTCATTTAGCATTTCTATATAATTCATTAATCAAACAGAATCAATTCTACATCTTAAAATAAATACATTTAAAGTGACAGAAGTGAGACACTAAAACAAATTGAAAAAATGAAAATAAAACAATAATTAATAATGGATTAAGTGTCAAAATAGAATCCAAAAGGCATGTTTTGAATGTACAGTTGATCCCAGCATGAGGAAGAAGATGACACCCACCCTCTGAGCACTTGTCCATCTCCTCTGACTCCTGCAGCCAAGCAACCACCTTGCTCTGGCCGTTGCTGTAGGAGGCCGGCAGGCTGCTGTTGCTGCTCGGGGCAACCGGCTGCCACGGCAAGCTGCTCGGCTTGGCCTGCTGAGAGGCGACATGGGGACAGACACTCAGATCACTGCACACCTACGAACTGGTTAGGAGTGGTTTTAATCATACGTTAGTTACTTATAGGCTCTGACAATGTGGAAAAAGGAATGTTCTGGATTCTTGAGTTAGAAAATCTCTGAATAAGATGCGGGAGAAATAGGGAAAATTATCCGTCAAAATGATGGATTTAAATTCCTTGTATGGTCGGATTTAGAACAAATCATCACATGAGAGAATCTAGCAGCAGCATATTAAGCACACTTCTAGTAATTGAATTTTCTTTCAAGTGACTCAATTTCAGGGTACATCACTGCTATTAAAATGGATCTCTTTTACCATCCTATATGAACGATCTGTGCTGTTGACCTACTCACTTCACCTACTGTACCTGCAGCAGATGCAGTAGATAACTGTGCAAATGTGCCTAGCTAGAAAATGATAAACCCTTTGTCATACAGCAGGGTTAAGAAGAACATAATGACAGATATAATGGGCTGTATTATCATCTATTAAGAGCATGTTGAAAGCTTCTTTTATAAGGATTTCTTTTTATTTGCAAGAGATCTTGATAGTCCTCCCTCCAAGAACTAATTCTGACTCTAGGATTGGAGTCTCTTATTTAAGCTTTTCTTCAGGGAGACCTCATCAGGCTGCAGCCAGCTGCTCTGAATCCAGATCCTACTGATCACCTCTAATGGCCGCACCGAGATACACTCCCAGGAGATCCTGCTCTGGCGGCATCCTCACATTTACCTCACGTTCAGACATGCCAGCAAAGACTAGGGGTTTACACTAAGTGGAGTCTGGATACAACAACCAGGTTCATTATCCTAATGAAGAGTGTAGAATTACCTTTCCAATCAAGGTTACTGCATTAGGCAGATATCAGTCTACACATCCCCAGCCCTTAGTCTAGCAGGGTCCTTGTTGTGGCAACAATGTGGAACATGTGTTGAGATCATTTATGTAAAACAGTGACATTTAAACCAAAGAAATTGCACGTTTTGTATAAAACCTAAATGTAGACATGTTAAATTGGGGTCATTGAAAGGACAACATTGACAACACAGTCTTGTCTGACTGTTATGTCTTCCTGTCACTACTGTGAATGTTCAGTGAGTTGAACTTCCTCTCTTCTGGTATTTTGGTTCACTATCACAGTTTAAAATAAAACAGAACTAGGCAGTCTCTCCTTCCCCATGACATACCTTTTGAATAAGTAATTGCACTTTGCTCAGAGCTCAGAGAAACTGCTTTTAAGCTCGATACTCAGGAGGAGTATGAACTAGAATTACAACTTTGCTGATTGTGTGCCTCGCCAATCGGATGCAGTTTTCATCCATGTCGGCTCCAAATACAATCACTCACTTAACCTATTTGTATGAAATTGTCATAATTATCACAGCTATCCTGGATAAAGGCCAACAACTTGAGTCCAAATCTATGTTTGTGCTAGGGATGGGAATTTGAAAGCAAATGTATATTCGAATATTCGACCCCCAAAAAAACGGTTAACCGATTAACCAAAATGTACATATCCTATAAAAAAAAAAAATGTGGGAACAATTTTTACAAAATAAAAAAGATCACTGGTGATCACAGTTTGAACAGTTGACAGCTATAGGCCTACAGCTTTCATGCTTAAAACATAACTTGGTCTTTAAATGAAAGAGGGATCATACACGAACAACGTAACCCTATCACAACAGAGATCAACAACCTATAACAGGGCCTATGCACAGAATGCAGCTATTCAATACTCATTCTTGTTTAAGAATATGAGCATGTCTACTCAGGGGAGAGGCGGGTGCGGAGGCGATTCACAATCAGGCCAGCTGTAGAGAAGACCCTCTCAGCTGGAATTTGGGCATAAGATGAGGTTTGAGTCTGTGTGATCTGCGTGTAGGGAGGGGCAGCAGCCATATCGTTAGCTAGAACTAGCTAGATCTGATGGATTTGGACATGAACGCGAGTGAAGTATAACCGGACGCGAGAGAGAGAGATCAGCACCTGCAGCTCTGCCCGCTGTGAGGGACCGGTGAGCGGAGAAAAACACACCTTTAGACCTAACACACTTAGCTATGGCACTGTCGTTTACATTGAATTATTCCATTTGATTATATGTAATCAACTAAGGCACCCCTCCCAAAAAAGATTACAATAAAAATATTCAAAACTCATATTCTCATATTCGAATACCTGAATAATTTTGAATATTCGATTAATCGTTCCCATGCCTAGTTTGTGCCAGATTCTTTCGAGAAGTCCTACTCACATTTTTGGACCAGATGATTTATTGATTAGTTGAGGAAATAATCCTACAGTTAATAGTTGTGAGATCTCACCTTTGCATCGCGTACCACACTGGAGGCCGGTTGGGGGGACTCCATGGCAGCGGGTGGGGGAGGAAACGTCCGCATGGTGGCCTCTCGGGGAGATCGCACAATCTCGTTCTGTCGGTAAAGCCGGTGATGACGCAACTTGGAAACCCAAGCATCAAAGATGTCTTGAGATTTGACCTGGAGAGAAAGACAGCTTGAATCTCTGCTCGGATGACCTCCTGTTTATCTTTATTGACAGGACAGTATTGACTCAGTGTTACCTTCAGGTGATAGATGTGTTCCTCCGTGTCCAGGTCGATGCGTCGAGCTCTCTTCTTGATGGACATGACTGAGAGGCCGACGTCAATGCTGCCATGAAGCTTGCCTTTTTGGATCTAAAACGGGCAAAGACACACATTTTTACACACATATTATTTTTCTGTTTACTCATGGTTTACAGTTAGTCAAATAATTAGTACGTTTTGTACAAAAGGGATATCCAGCAATTACCAAATACCTCAACACTAATAAGTATGAAGAAAACTCAAAGATCCTCCCTGCTGTAGATCACTTGTATTCACTTTATCAATGTTTGACTCCTCAGATAAATTCAATAAAAAATTCAAAAGGCTTATAAAAAAAAACCTTAAATGATTCAATTGATTATTTGATCAACAGAAACTTTGATGACAACATTTTTGATAATCAATAAATTGTCGTCATTAAAGGTGGAGTAGGTAAGTTTGAGAAACCGGCTCGAGATACACTTTTTGTTATATTCCATGGAATGCTCTTAACATCCCGATAGCAATGAATATCTTAAGTGCTTGGACAAAAAATCCATAAAAAAAATGTCATCTGTGGAAGCCGTAATACTGTAAAAAGCACGACCAATCATTTTAGCCGGCCCGGCTAAAATAACTGGATGGCCTACCTGCCTGTCAGCCTTCCATCTGTGCACAAACTTATCTCGTGCCCTCATTGGTCATGTGCGCGTTCGTGTGTGTTGGAGGAGGGGCTCTGTAAGGAAGTGGCAGATTTTCTCTGGCTGTGTATTTTCAAATTCTTGCGCACTCGAGCTGGTTTCTCCAAAATTACCTACCCCACCTTTAAGGGCTTAATGTAAGAGCAGTGTCTCGGCTCATTCGACATATATATATATATACTATAATTTAATTAAAACAAAAAAACAATGTAAATTCAAACGTAGGATAACTTGAAATACCTTTAAATTTAAGTACAATTGCTGTTATAATTAAGTAGAAATGCCAATCATTCACAGATTCTGTCCAACGAGCTGTAAAGACGTAATGCTTAGCACTCTCTTATACATATATAATATTTAAATCATATGTTATGGTTGGGTTATATTGTTGGTTGAACAAAAGGGTGTCTTTCATTTGGACATGGATTTAGGATTTTCTCTTTGCTGTTTTCCCCTTTATTGGATAGTTTTAAGAGGTAGACAGGAAACAAGGGGAGGAAAAAGGTCCAAGGGTTTCTAAACACTAAAACATTGTAAATAAAGTCAAACAGCGGTTTGTGTGATGCTTTGGTTTCTTCAGTTGTGTGTTGTATTTTCATTCTGTCAGTAAAATTGTACATTACATGCAAAGTGACATGGTTTTCTGAAAACACTGTGAACATCGTGACCGTGTTGCAGATGTTTCTGCTGACTCATTGCCGAGCTGATGTCAGGCCAGGCTGCCCTGCCCGAGGGTAATAGTCAGGGTTACTTACATCAATAGGGGTCTTGGAGTACTTCAGGATACCATTGTCCAGAACAAAAAAACGCTGCAGAGAATATAAGCACAAAAACAACGTGTTAAATAACAGGAAGGGCAAACATAGAAAATAGATCACATCGTACTTGTTGTTGTGGATTCAATATAAAGTCATCTAAAATGTATTTTATCACGATTAGCTGTAGGCTCTGTGTGTTCTGTGGTGTTGTTAGTACAAATATGCTGACGACAGGGACTGGTTTCCACTGTTATTCAAGTGTTTTGCGAAAACAACAGTTACGCTGATTCTGAAACTTCAAAAGGAAACAAGGCTTGCGGAAGAGGCCCAGAGCACGAAGCGAGGGGCATGAAAAGGGGAACCTATTTCTTACTAGACAGCAAACTGCTTAACATTCAAGGAGCGCCTGTGTGTGAAAGTGTTTGTCCATCATCAAAAGCTTTTGTGTCTGGCTGTGCCTGAGGATCTTACCTTGTGCCAGCCTTTCAGGGGCCATTTCCGCTTCTTTAACATGAACCCCTCGTGTTTATCGGGCCTCTGGACGTTGCTCTGGCCGATTTTCAGCCCCTCAATGATTTCCCAGCTGTCTGCCTCCTAGAAAGAAAAAAAAAAGAACAATACCATTTTATAAATAATGCACTCACTCCTCTGGAATAAGAAAAGAGGAGATACACTTGCTGGTACAAAAGGAAAAATACCCCTGTCAGGCCCACAGAGTGAAAAAGGCAAATCACAGGAATACACTTAAAACTTATTCTTCTTCCACTAAACTACAAATTCTAAAAAATACTGCCCGTTTCAGATTCCCCCTGCTCTCTCAGCATTTCCACTCCATTAGCTTTCCCCTGACTGGGCTCTTCCTGGTGGGTCTGTAAATCAAATTGATGTTTGTGGAGCAGAGAGACAGCAAAGTCAGGCAGGGACAGGTGAAACACACGTCACGTCATGATCCATTCAGCGTCTTTAGAAGTTATTTTGTGTAAAAGTTTGATATTTTATTAATTGTCAGGATTACTGTTACTGTACCCTTTTCTTCCACTTCTTTTTTAACAGGGCTGCCCCATCATTATCAATTATTCAACTTATTGGTTGTCAAGCTTTTATGTTATCCATTCACTATCAATTTCGTTTTTTCAATCTTCGATAACAAATAATATTGTATGATATTCATTTGCTATAAATACGTTTTTGTATCAGCTAGAAATCTCTTTTTTTCCATTGGTATTCATTTGCTAATAATCTTCTTTGAATGGTCTTGGTTTAATATCATATGTTTTGTATTGTGTTCAGTTTTGACAAAAACGTATGGAACACATACAGTATTACAGGACAGTCCAATGAGGGAAACTAAATCAATTGTAGAGTGGTAAACTCTTAAAAAATAACAATTTTGATTTCCTTCCCCCTCAAACTTTCATTTTTATTGTTGCTTATTTGATTGATATTAAATCTAACAGATTTTTTTCAGTGGCTTTACGCAAAGCATGATTGCAAGGCATGTAACTCAATATAGCTGTGTTCAACGTGACACTTCAGATAGCAACCGTGATATTGATGTAGAATCAAGAGTATAAAATAAACTAATCGTCTTACTGCCATATGGTCAGAAAGCGTCAACATTGATATGACATGACATGTAGTCCTCTATTTTCTGGCAGTTATCCATCAGATTAAGTAGGATATTAATGAACTGGAATGCATCATAATGTAATATTGGTGAAGTAGGTCAGATATTTAATTTTAGACTTGAATCAGCCTCTGAGGCAAAACCCACAAGTTAACACAAAGAAGCATCTCCAGAAAACCAGATGAAACCCTGTGGCTCTTCACTGCTCGGTGCGATGCTGCGATCTTCAAGACAGCTCGTTGGGTGACACCCGACCTTGTCTCGCAGGACATTTAACAAAAGGAGACAACAGCTTGTTTAAACTAATGGCCGGGCGAACATATCTGCTTGGTAATGAGGTCATGTTTCTCCAGCAAGGACGGCCCCTCCCGCTCTGAGTGTCGCTGTGCTACTGAGGAGGTGAAGGAGCTCAACTGCATTTGCAAAATGTACATCACCATTCAAAGCAATCATATCATAAACGGTAGCGCCGCACTCATTATGACCAAAGCAAAAAGGTCATTATCCGTTGAACGACTCAACTGTACTGTATAATGTAAGCGATTACAGCTTCCACGCTGCTGTGTTGAGACCATAACAGCCCAACACGTGACGAGCACCCCCACTAAGAGGCAATAACAAGCAGCAATCTAACAGAAACCCTCCAGACACATTTCCTGTGTGTTACCGGTGGCATTACAAACAGACTTTCAAATTACTCTAAATTGATAAATCAATACTGCACTAAATAAAGAATGGCTGCCACCATTGCCATTCAATGCACTTTCCCGGGCATCGCTTTAAGAGCCGAACCATTACCGACATCAATCAACAAAATCTTCAGGAAGAGCAGTCAAGCTCCCGTTAAATGACAAAGTATATGCCAACTATCGGTTTATATGGAAATTGCCGCTACAGTCGGAGGGTTTGCTTTTGTTATTTGACCCTGAAAAAGGAACTCAATTGAGCTGTGATTTCCTGCACTCCGCGCCGTTCATTGATCTCGCTGCAGAATGATTTAAATCTGAATGGTGAGTTTTCCCCTTTAATGAAGGATGTTGTGTCAGACTCCGTAAGAGGCTGTCTGCCTTTCTACGTCAACATTTCAGAAGGTTAGCCCCATGAGCTTGTTGTTTGATATTTAGATAACTTTGATAACAGATTGTTTTGCCTTTCTCTCTTCTTTTCCAAGTCTTTAAAAAGACTCATATCAGAGTTACAGTAGTTGCCAGAACTAGGGCTGAACAATATATCCATATTATACAGATATCATGATATGAGGTTGTAGAACATTTTGGTTATTGTGATATCGCAATTGGCATTTGTGACTTTCATGGTTTTGAAGGCTGCATGACAACACTTAGATTTACTTTTTGAACTTTCCAGACTTTTCTATTATCTGCCCCTACCAACTTAGTCATTATATCCACATCTTACAAAGAAAATATTTTGTGAAAGCCCCAATTGTCAACCCTACAATATCAATATCATTTTTTTCGCAAAAATATTGTAGAATTTGATGTTATTCATTTTACCCAGGCGGGCGAGAATAGCAAAATAATATGTTAGATCCCAATCATCAACTGAATCATTCTGTGTGAGTCTCGTGGTGTCTGCCATCTGCAGTGACTTTGTAGCACAGTGGACTCTGTAATGCTGCAATGAATCACAGCATTACAGTTAAGGTCTCCCTTTGCAGGAGAAAGGACAAACACTCCTTGGGGACACCTTAGGCTAAATCAGGACTATAAATATCAGTACAGCCCACTTCTGATGAAGTCTAGGTCCTTTTATACAACTGACTCTCTGAAAGATATGGATCTACATGCAGAGAAACTATTCATTCTGCTTCTGACTGCTGATAGTGTGAAGAGCTGCACTTCATGAACTCAACATAATCACCAAGTTATTTCAGTCTAATTCTCTTTTACTTCTTTATGTTAGTGTCCTCAGAAGGCAATAAAAGATAATGATCTAATAACAGAGTGATAAAATAATGAAACAGATTCATGTTTAGTCTTTCATCTTGTTAACTCGAGATGCCAAGTTTAAAACAAAATTATCTCGGGATAATTAGGTGTTCATAGCGCCATATTCTTTTCTTGTCTTAGCAAAATAAATATCTCGCTTTTTTTCTCAAAATAACAAGTTTTTCCATGATCTTATGAAAAAAACCTATTGTTTTTTAAAGATATGCACAGTGTTGCCAGTAGAGCTGCAACAATTTGGCAGAAAATGAATATAGGCAACGATTTTGATAATCTACTAATGTTCTGGTGACTAAGTTTTAACAAAAAGGTTTATTAAATGTGAGGATTTGTTGGGATATGTTTACTTTAGGTCTCTTACTGTTGGTCAAAACAACAAGAGACATTGGAATCTGGAGAAGTGTAAAGACTGTTTCTCACAGTTTTCTGACATGTCATGGAGCAAAAGATGTATTAAGTAATCAAGAAAGTAATCAGTCGATGTATTGATGGCTTAAAACAACCGTTAGTTGTAGCCCTGATTGCAAAAAAGCAACTTTGTTAGCTAAACAATTAAGTTGTGATTTCAACATCACAGAAGTATAAAACTATTGTAACTTCATCTGTTCTTAGCTTCCTCCCCAGGCGAGACTCAGACGAGACTCAGACGAGACTCACTCATCTACAGTTTTTATTTATATAAGGCTGAAACAGCATCTTCAGTTTCAGCAACAACTAACCGCGACAAAAACATTAAGCACATACTCTTTGAAGAACCCTTGACGACCTTTCAATGGCTGTCTAAAAAGCAACCACGAGCAGCCATTATTATTAACTATATGTTTGTTAAAGTGGACCTACAGTATCATGCTATATTTAAATGATATATTGTAGGGCCATAAGGTATATTTATACGTTTCTGTTTTCAAAATACCAAACAGATCATGCATTTTAGCCATGCCTCATTTCGCTCTATGTGCTGTTTGCTGTCTACGGGTCTGATTCTGCTGACCACGCCCCCCTGCAGGAGAGGGGAGACGTGCTCTGATCAGCTGCTGGGCTGTCAGAAGAGGGGGAGAAAAAGAGATCTCCGTCCTCCGTGTTTTATTATATAGAGTCGTTATTCATTTGTTTTAAAGCTCAATAAATAACAAAGAAGACCTTTGACCGGCACTTTTCTAATTTTGTCCGGAAGATTTAAACTTTAACGGACATCTTGACCGGCGAAACAAACTGAAACTGAAACTCTGCCGCACGGTCCCCTCGTTCCTTGGAAGAGGCGGAGAGGTGGGTGTTTGTCATCTGCTGGTGGACTAACCGGTGAGAATTACAGTGCTTGCCTCGACGGGGAGGGATTGCATTGAATTAAAGCAGCGGGAGCAAACGCTTGCCTCGGGGAGGGAGAAAAAAAGCCACAGCGGAGAATAAACAGAAGGGTAACCATGGTAACTATGGGCGGGAAGTCTTCTTCGCTGCTTTTGTGGCAGACTACAGCGCCACTTACAGGCCTGGCATATGTACTACAGCGTCTCCAGCGCTTTCGAGCGGCAATGGCCGGCCGTGGCCCAACCCCACATTCCCCTGATAGGTGGAGAGTTGGCCCAATAGCCGTAGCGCCACTGTCCTGACGTCAGGACAGTGTTCAAATCTGGATCAGTTTTTATCAGATCCGTTGCAGCCCCTTTTTTAGAGATTTGGGTATGGAGGAAAATAGAGAGGGTTGTGTTTTCTGACACTTGGTGAGTTCCCTGGAACACCGGGGACACATATTCATGTATAAAAGACGTACAAAAGTGCATTTTGCATGATAGGTCCCCTTTAAATAAAGCTGACTCCTTCAATCTGACAGAGTCTGCTTTAGTATATCAGGAGGACTGTTTGACTCTAGTTCAATTATAAACAAATACAGATCTCCCTCCATTATTACTTTACAATTTTAAAATATAAATAAATACAAATGATTTAAAACTTGAATGTCTCATCCGACAGCTACATTTTAAACCATTCACTTCAAATCTATT